TACAGACGGACTGAGGGACATTATTTACTGTACCTATACAGACGGACTGAAAGACATTATTTACTGTACCTTTACAGACGGACTGAGGGACATTATTTACTTACCTATACAGACGGACTGAGGGACATTATTTACTGTACCTATACAGACGGACTGAGGGACATTATTTACTGTACCTATACAGACGGACCGAGAGACATTATTTACTGTACCTATACAGACGGACTGGGGGACATTATTTACTGTACCTATACAGACGGACTGAGGGACATTATTTACTGTACCTATACAGACGGACTGAGGGGCATTATTTACTGTACCTATACAGACGGACTGAGGGACATTATTTACTGTACCTATACAGACGGACTGAGGGGCATTATTTACTGTACCTATACAGACGGACTGAGGGGCATTATTTACTGTACCTATACAGACGGACTGAGGGGCATTATTTACTGTACCTATACAGACGGACTGAGGGGCATTATTTACTGTTCCTATACAGACGGACTGAGGGGCATTATTTACTGTTCCTATACAGACGGACTGAAGGACATTATTTACTGTACCTATACAGACGGACTGAGGGGCATTATTTACTGTACCTTTACAGACAGACTGAGGGGCATTATTTACTGTACCTATACAGACAGACTGAGGGACATTATTTACTGTACCTATACAGACGGACTGAGGGACATTATTTACTGTACCTATACAGATGGACTGAGGGGCATTATTANGGGCATTATTTACTGTTCCTATACAGACGGACTGAGGGGCATTATTTACTGTTCCTATACAGACGGACTGAAGGACATTATTTACTGTACCTATACAGACGGACTGAGGGGCATTATTTACTGTACCTTTACAGACAGACTGAGGGGCATTATTTACTGTACCTATACAGACAGACTGAGGGACATTATTTACTGTACCTATACAGACGGACTGAGGGACATTATTTACTGTTCCTATACAGACGGACTGAGGGACATATTCTGTGGGAGAATGAACTGATCGAGGCCCGTACTTAAAACACAGCACCCTGCTTTGTAATGGACAGCTACTGAACAATGTACCGTTAATGAAATATGCAGCATGAGCTATGGTCTTTCATGCATGAACGCATATTAAATATTGTTAACCTACTGGAAAGGTAGCGGTATTGTTACCTTATTTGGAAATGTACATAATTGTCATGTCCAAATACTGATCTAGTGAATCCTTGGTATTTACCAGTCAGTCCACTTTGATCATTTGAAGCAGGAACATGTGATTCTAAGGCGACGACATTATCTCTTTCAACATCATTTTGGAACATTGTTAATGTAAAGACATATTAATTAACACAACACATTGAACAGAGAGCAAAAGTTAAAGTTTACTTAAATGGAATTTTAATTACGTGCATCAGGAAAAATAACTTGAAAAAATAACTGCAACAGAGGGAAAATCAATTAAAACCTCACCGGTGGATGTTCACTTATGTCAGAAAATGTTTATTGGATTAATTCTACCTCCAAGTATGGATCACTGTGTGTGAAGATCTGTTGAATTATTCCTGAATCAAGACTTGTGTTTTTCTATATCATCAATATTCATATTTTATAATAATTATTGGATGACTGTTTTTTCTCTCCCAGTAAGTTTCACAGCATTCTGTTTGATTAATTTATTCACAAAGATTTTCTCCTCAATAAACTTAAACAGTGGACAGCTGGATTATTTCTGGATCAAATATTGCATTCTGTGGCGTTTCAATGCATTATATTTTATTGTTAATTTTTATCATATTTAAATGTACATATAAACAAAAGTCATATGTTATTAATGAATTGTTGATTTTCTGGTGCTAAATTATTTTTGTTACCTGTAGCTGTCAATTATCAGGCCAGTAGCTGTCCATTATCAGGCCAGTAGCTGTCAATTATCAGGCCAGTAGCTGTCCATTATTAGGCCAGTAGCTGTCCATTATCAGGCCAGTAGCTGTCCATTATCAGACCAGTAGCTGTCCATTATCAGGCCAGTAGCTGTCCATTATTAAACATAATAATGGACAGCTACGGCGTAATAATGGACAGCTATAGGTACTTCATTGAACATTCAACTATGATGTACAGCGAGAACAAAGGATGATGTCGTAACTGTGTTTTAAGATGAAATAAAGAGATTTGGATATTTTTTTTGATATTTGCAGCCCTAATCTTTACACGACGAAAACTCATCTGGTTGAAACACTGGAGAGTCGATGTTTTATTTCCACTCAAACATATTTTAGAAGAAATTCTTTTACTAATTCGTAAAAACAAAGTAAGTTCAAGATTCAAACTATTCAAACATATTTAAACTTGATAATATATTGCTATTTTCATACGTAGCAACGCATGTACGATATTATCATTTGATAAAAAAATGACATTTGTTTTGCTGTGTTAGAGTTAAAGTTGACATATTCTGCACACGAAAATCATCATGATATCTCATTTGAATACACAATTAAGTATGCAAACATAAAGCATCCAGTCTACGGGACATCAGTAATAATCCTAGCTTACTGATACACCCAACACACAAACATCAGTAATAATCCTAGCTTACTGATACACCAACACACACACATCAGTAATAGTCCTAGCTTACTGATACACCCAACACACAAACATCACTAATAATCCTAGCTTACTGATACACCCAACACACAAACATCAGAAATAACCCTAGCTTACTGATACACCCAACACACAAACATCAGTAATAACCCTAGCTTACTGATACACCCAACACACAAACATCAGTAATAATCCTAGTTTACTGATACACCAACACACAAACATCAGTAATAATCCTAGCTTACTGATACACCCAACACCCAAACATCACTAATAATCCTAGCTTACTGATACACCAACACACACACATCAGTAATAGTCCTAGCTTACTGATACACCAACACAAAACCATCAGTAATAATCCTAGCTTACTGATACACCAACACACACACATCAGTAATAGTCCTAGCTTACTGATACACCAAAACACAAACATCAGTAATAGTCCTAGCTTACTGATACACCCAACACACAAGTATCATTTAAATAGAATCTTTAATAAAGACTCCGGCGTCTCGGCTCCCTACAAAAGTTACATTATACACCTTGATAGATATACAAGTAAGATGTGTCTCACAATATAATGATACGATGAACCGGAGAAGGAACAAGAAACGCAGAACCAAATTTATCAAATATGAAAAAGTGAAGTGGAATTTTTGAAAAATTAACAAAGACAATTGTCTGTTTTCATTTTATTCAATGTTCAGATTGCATTTTATTTTACTACTGCCTGGTGCTCATTTTACTTATAACGTCACCTTACTTATCGCACTGGGTATGTACTCCTTTGAGCTATTTTACAAAATAATAATAATAAGTGACATCTGCCGAAGACGAGTGAGTAATACCGAATCAAAGGTATTTTTATAATTCGCACAATTGAAATTTAAATCTCAATAGAAATACAGGTAATATGTGCAAGACAACACAGCCGAACTACGCGTTTACCTTATCACCGCACGGAGTTATATCACGTAATCGTCTGTCGTCAGTACACGAGAGAGTTCCGGCCCAGAGCACACCTGTCAGGTACACGGATGGGTCGTGTGTAGTGTGAGTGCTAAATGAGCAGTGTAGTTGTTTTTTCTAGTGGCAATGCGTACTATCACTTGTAGTGTGTGCGTAGTCTCAACTTTATTATAGAAGTTTTGATAAAAATTCATATATGATCGATGTTCGAAGTTTTAAACTTAGACAAATGGAGATATAATTGTATAACAAGTAAAACAAATCAGTAACCCTTGCGAGGGTTATTGTTACTAGTACTACAACTTAGACATAAACAGTTTTCTATCAAAACATGTTTATTCACCTTTGTATGAACTGGTTGAGATGAACTGGCAGATGTAAACTGAATGTTTAACTATTAATTGAATATTATATTCATACCGAATTAACAATAAATTACATGAGGAATATGTACATGTTCCGATTAAATATTTTCCATCGTTAATGATTTTATGTAACAAAGAAACACATAAAAGTGAGTGCCTGATATGTTCTCTATGTTCTTTATAGTGATATAGTGCTCATATATACGTTTTTGCACGTATAATGCAATGAATGTATACCTGTTGGTGTTCTGCATTGACCTACTAATGTTTCAATATATGTCTCCTTACTTAGAATTTCTAGTGATTGTGTGAAAAGAACCGCGTACATGGCCAACATCAATATATATATTTGTTCTCACAACCACTATAACTTCCCTCACACAAAACTCATTGGATTAAACCTATTAGGAGTAGGTAAACGTTTGTGGTACCCAGTTACACCATGTACGTCATTTCATTGGTCTATCTGTCAATGAAGACGTCATGTAACAACGTTTTGCGACTTAATGCGATTGTTTCCCTCATTAGAGACATACATAATGTATTTTTATTGGAAACGTGTGGTTTTCCAGATAAAAGATATCATGTTAACGTTATGGGAAAAAACGCATTCGGAAACACCGGTCATCAAACACCGGACAGAACATGCCTGACACGAAATAGAAGGCACGTAACTCAAACGTGATGATTAGGCATTATTCTATGGGGTAGACATGGTATGTCATAACGCGCTGCCGGGAAGGACTAGTTTCAATCGGAGCATGATTTTAGCAACATTGGCTGTGTTTCGATATATTTTAACTAGTTTGTGCAAGATTCTAAACACTTTTGCAATTGATAAATATTGAAATACCACGTGATATATTTGTTTTTAGTTCAAAGTCCGCACACAGATGACGTAGGCTATAGGTGTGAGATCACTGCTTTATCACTCGTTCGTACATAAGGATGTACGCGTTCCGTTCACCTAGGACAGTTTCCAGAGTACATTCTGTGACCATGGTGTCATTGAATGTGTACCATGTGTCATTGGTCTCGTTGGTTGATTCTGGAGCAGAAACTTCCACCAATTGCTGTTCATCCAACTTGCTATCATGTTGTTCCATTTCTTTCCAGAAATTTAAGATTTCATCCACAAAACTTTCTGGATCTCGCCACTCGTTGCTAAGGAACTTCTTCTCCATTGCGTCTTCTCGGTGTCCAGTCGTTCGCACATGCGCCGTGTAGTGACCTCCATGGATTGAGCCAACATGACATACCACACCATACAGGCGATACATTGTATCCGGCTCTGTGTCTGATCCACTTTTGTCCTGAAGGTAAAGGAAATAACAAACAAATCAGAAACAGAACAAAAATAAAAACATGACATAATGCACGGCTATGAGGAGGTTAGCTTGGACAATATAAAAATATCAGAGAATTCAATTACTCGTGGACATTCACTCAAACTTGGAAAAGTGTTCTCTGGATCAAACAGTAGTCAAAATCGCTTTTCAAATAGGGTAGTGAATAAGTGGAACTCCTTATCAGAGGGAACAGTTACAGCGAGCTCTGTGAACATATTTAAGAGTAACCTGAACACTGACTGGAAAGAGAGAGAAAAGGACAACACATCCAATGTGTGAATTAAGAGATGTGACTCTACAGTGAGACCTTTTTAAAACATAACCATCTACCGCTAGCGTAGCGAAAACATGAAAGAATTGATGTACAAGATTTCAATTGGGCCAATACGAGCTTTAAGGTGGCTCGACACATCGTCATCAGCGTCCATTTTCGTGACATACTTCCGGAAAAAGTACAGCTAGGACTCAATTATCTTAATCGAAATGTGCATGTACACCGTGTCGTCATTTCCGTATTGCGTATCGGGCATTCAATATCGTAGTGCAAATTATAGTAACACCTGCTGGGCCGTTTTCGTTTAAAC